CAGGTTGCTTGCACAGGCCGCAGGCACCGTCCCACCAAGACAAGCCGCGCATTTGGAGTAGTGCTAACTAAGCTCGTCTGAAGGGTTGCAAAGTGTGCCATCTCAATGGAAACTTCTCCAGAGGAAGAACAAATCATCCAAGGATCCAAACAGTAGCAGCAGGCAACGAACCTACATCGGGACACCGGGTTGAGCAGAACCCCGAACACCTTCCAGCCCCACAACGGAAATTCTGAAATCAAAACAACCAAGCCCAGCAGTCCGCAGTCGGGATCTCAGGAAATGAAGAGGTTTCTGTTAGACCGACCCTCCCAGCCTCGAGGAATCCAAAGCGACCGGGCAGTGCAGGCAACCTGAGCAGCAGGGTTGCCCCGCCCACGCAGCCGAACTTTCGCAAGACAGCGTCCATTCTGCCACGAGCACAAGAAACAACAAACAAGCGATTTTCTTCTCGTGGCGGCGTCGTTGTTGCTTGCTTGCTCTTTCGCAAGACAGCGTCGAAGCAAGCAAGCAACGGTGCAACCTAGCCAGAGCGAAGAATTCACGGCCCGCACGGCTCACCGTGGAGTCAAGGGCCGCGCCACCCAGTCGCCCCAGCTCACGACTTGGTCGTTGTCAAGAACGGCAGCAAAACCAATAGCGGAGGCTGCGATAGCCCGCACATTCTTGAGCTGATCTTGCACGGCACTGCTGTCGCAACCGCGCTCTGGGAAGCCCCATGATACAACCGTGCCGTCGGCCTTAATGGCAGCGAAAGCATTGAAGTTGCTCGCGATTTGCTCCACATCCGTCAACTGATGCTGCTGTTGCCACCATGAAAGGAACAGCCCCAGGTTACGACTGAGCCATTGCGTAGAAGCGCTGCAAAGGCTCCGCGGTTACTTTGGATTTCCCTGACGTCCTTCAGCTGTTCCTGCACTTCACTGCTGTCCGCACCAGAATATCGACCCCCACCCCATGTAACCACGGAACCATCTGTGCGGATCGCTGCAAACGCATGCGTCGTGGATTGGTGGATGGCCGAGACATTGCGCAACTGTTCCTGCACCGCGCTAGAGTCGCCTCCGGTGAAGTCTTCACCCCATGTAAAAACGGATCCGTCGGTCAGAATGGCTGCAAAAGCCCTCGATGAGGACTGGATGGCGGTGACGTTTCTTCGCACAGGCACAGAACTGCATTTGCCCCAAGTAACGACGGACCCATCGTCGAGCAGCGCCGCAAAGGCTTCTCGTGCCGCTTGAATCTGCCGCACGCCTTTGAGTTGCTTCTGCACTCCTCTGGAGTCGCCTCCGTGTACACATCTTCCCCACGTCACGACAGAGCCATCTGTGCATGTTGCCGCAAAAGCATCGCCGGTGGTCTGGATGGCCTGCACGTTCTTTAAAAGCTCCTGCACTCCCAGGCTGTCCCCCGATGCAACGGCCTGCACGTTATTCAAACGGTCCTGAACAGATTTGCTGTCACCGCCAGTCATAGCATTCCCATAGGACGCGACCGAGCCATCGCGGCGGAGCAACGCACAAGAGAACGCGCTCGAGCTCAAAGCCGCTTCGAGGAAGAGGTAGAGATTCCCCATGAAGCCTGCTCCCCGACAATGCTCTGTGATAGAGCTTCCAACAGATCCGCTTTGGAGAGAGTGCGCCCGGCAGACTTCTGTTGCACAGACGCAGCGACAGCGAGCCCACGCAACTCCTGCCGGTTTTGCTTGTCGAGCTCGGTGCGGAGCCAGGCTGCGCCTTGCTCGGCATAACCCGCGCGCAGCTCCTGCAGCTTTTGCTGCGACGCCGGTTCATCGGCCTGACAGCAAGAGCTATTTCACTTCAAAGCACAAAACATCCCTCCCACCTGGCGACGACGTCGCTGCGTCTGTGGAATAGAAGTTTGCCGGGCGCACTCTCTCCAAAGCGGAGCTGTTGGAAGCTCTATCACAGAGCATAATTGTCGGGGAGCAGGCTTCATGGGGAATCGGCGTTTTTGATGATTGTCCATGTCAGCTTCTGTTGCAGCGAGGCGTCGGTAGCGAGCCCACGCAGCTCCTGCCGGTTTTGCTTGTCCAGCTCGGTGCGGAGCCAGGCTTCGCCCTGCTCGGCATAACCCGCGAGCAACTTCCGCAGCAGCAAAGCCATGGGATGGAAAAAGGCGTCCACACCGGCCCTTTCGCAAGACAGCGTCGAGGCAAGCAATGCGCTGTCCTAAGCATGTTAAGATGAAAAAGTGTCCACACCGACCCTTTCGCAAGACAGCGTCGAGGCGGGCAAACAGCTCTCCTAAGTATGGTCAGCTGATAAGATGAGAAAACTCTCCACACCGGCCCTTTCGCAAGACAGCGTCGAGGCAGGCAAGGAAACGTACTAGGTGTAGTAAGATGCTGCAATGTGTGCAAAATGCTGCAACGCGTTTTCCCTTTCTTCTCCCTTTCGAGCCAAACGAGGCAGGCAAACAACAGACACCAGCATAGGAAGATGTTGCAACATGCAGCCCCTCACCAGCAGAGCCTGCCGGTCAAACATGTGCAATGACAGGCGCAGATGCTGTCACAATAATGGAGTATGTGGTACATGCAAAAAAAATCTCGCTTCCGAGCCTGCAGAGCGCGCAGCTCCTGCAGCTTTTGCTGCGATGCCGGTTCATCGGCCTGACAGCTATACTTCACGTCAAAGCACAAAACATCCCACCTGGCGACGACTCTGACGCCTCGCTGCAACAGAAGCTGACATGGACAATCATCCGGAACGCCGATTCCCCATGAAGCCTGCTCCCCGACAATGCACTAGACACCAGCATAGGAAGATGTTGCAACATGCAGCCCCTCACGAGCAGAGCCTGCCGGTCAAACACGTGCAATGACAGGGGCAGATGCTGTCACAATAATGGAGTATGTGGTACATGCAAAAACTCTCGCTTCCGAGCCTGTAGCAGTCGTCGGCCAGGCAGCGGCGCGGTGCGCCGTCGCAAGACAGCGTGCGCGCCGTACAAGCGCATGAATATATGTCTATTTATCTATCTATCTATCTATTTATCTATATATATATATATATATAGATAGATAGATAGATAGATATATATCTATCTATATATATATATATATATATTTCTATATATATGTACATATATATATATAGATAGATATAGACAGAGATATATATATATATATATGTATATTATCGATATATGCATTTGCCAATCCCTCTGAAGGGTTGCCAATTGACCTGCTGCACACCTACCGATTAGAACACTCGAAAAGGCAAATCCCTCTCATGGATTGCGCGGGGCACCTAAAATGTGCAACTTTACCTAGCGTTTCAACGCTCGACTAAGCCAATCCCTGTGAAAGGTTCCGCGGGCACCGCAAAATGTGTAACTTTACCTCGCGTTCGAACACTCGACAACGCCAATCTGTGTGAAGGGTTGCAAAATTCAGCTCAATGCTCATCAAAAATTGCAACTTTACCTCGCGTTCGAACACTCCACCACGCCAATGCCTGTGAAGGGTTGCAAAATTCAGCTCAATGCTCATCAAAAATTGCAACTTTACTTCGCGTTCGAACACTCCACCACGCCAATCCCTGTGAAGGGTTGCAAAATTCAGCTCAATGCACATCAAAAAATGCAACTTTACTTCGCGTTCGAACACTCGACCATGCCAATCCCTGTGAAGGGTTGCAAAATTCAGCTCAATGCTCATCAAAAATTGCAACTTTACCTCGCGTTCGAACACTCCACCACGCCAATGCCTGTGAAGGGTTGCAAAATTCAGCTCAATGCTCATCAAAAATTGCAACTTTACTTCGCGTTCGAACACTCCACCACGCCAATCCCTGTGAAGGGTTGCAAAATTCAGCTCAATGCACATCAAAAAATGCAACTTTACTTCGCGTTCGAACACTCGACCATGCCAATCCCTGTGAAAGGTTGCAAAATGCCAATCCCTGTGAAGGGTTGCAAAATGCAGTTGAGCTGCGCCCAAACCCTGTGAAGGGTTGCGCGGCGCCCGCAAAATGTGTAACTTTACCTCGCGTTTGAACGCCCGAGGAGGCGAATCCCTGTGAAGGGTTCACGGCGCCCGAAAAATGTGTAACTTTACCTCGCGTTTGAACGCCCGAGGAGGCGAATCCCTGTGAAGGGTTGCGCGGGCACCCTAAAACGTGTAACTTTACCTCGCGTTTGAACGCCCGAGAGTTCCAATCCCTGTGAAGGGTTCACCCGCGCGCCTAAAATGTGTAACTTTACCCCGCGTTTGAACGCCCGAGGAGGCGAATCCCTGTGAAGGGTTGCGCGGGCAGCCTAAAATGTGTAACTTTACCTCGCGTTTGAACGCCCGAGGAGAGGAGGCGAATCCCTGTGAAGGATTCACCCGCGCGCCTAAAATGTGTAACTTTACCTCGCGTTTGAACGCCCGAGGAGGCGAATCCCTGTGAAGGGTTGCATTCCCGATGGACGCCGACGGTGCCACCCCCGACTTTAGAAGAGAGATTTAAATACCGAGATGTAGAGAGTAAGTCATAGAGGCATAGAGAGTCAGTCAATAGAGAGTCAGTCAATAGAGAGTCAGTCATAAGTACGTAAGTAAGTAGAGTCAAGTAAGTAAGTCAGTAAGTAGTAAGTAGAAAGTAAGCAAGTAGAAGTAGTAAGTAAGTAAGTAGTAAGTAGTAAGTAAGTAAGTCAGTAAGTAAGTATAGAGATAACACAGAGATGCACAGAGTCAAGTAAGTAGGTCAGTCTCAAGTGCGATGAGCTTGAACAGAGATAGCATAGAGACAAGTATCAAGTGTAGAGTCAAGTAAGGTGTAGAGTCAAGTAAGTTGATTCTATGTCTGTCATCTATGTACTCATCTACCGTCAAGTATCAAGTGTAGAGCCAAGCAAGATATAGAGTCAAGTAAGTTGGTTCTATGTCTGTCATCTATGTACTCATCCACCCGGCTCCGCCCGGAAGAACCCTTCGCGATGCTTTCGGGAACTTGAAAGAACAGCACGAGACGGAGATGACGCGTCGAATCCTCCTCCAACGGGTTGCCGGCCAGCCGTATGCAGCTGTTCTTCGAGACCAGGGCCTCACATCAGACGACCGCGACTGCGACGAACTCGACCACCGTAGACGGGGGGAGGCGGAGGCCTCCGCGAGAGCCGTTGCAGCCGTGATGGCGTTCTGCTCCAGCCCTGGCAACGGCATGACGCGGCTGAGTAACTTCACTCTTTACCGTCATTGCACAGGGCACCCAGGTCGATGAGAGCCGTGTTCTGCTTCAGCGCAGCAGCCAAGACGGCCTCGGCCCCATCTCTCTTTCGCCCTTCTCTGTGTGGAGACGAGACGCTAAAATGCAGACTGCACCGGGGTCGCCGATGGAGTTCCAGCCTCGGATGCGCAGAGAGACGAGGGGCGGGGCGCGGCCTGCGGCTTTGAGCCTCTGAGCTCCCAAGCCCAGGTCCAGCTTCTGCAGCGTGGCGTTCCGGGGCAGCATCGCGGCCTCCACACGGACAAAAGGGGGCCAAAGGCCCACTGCTCTCGTCCTGCCACTCGTCCCACCGTCGCCACAGCTCCCCGATCGCCGAAGGAGTTGCAGAAGACGTCCAGGCCTCCGGAACTCAGCCCAAGCGATGCCTCTGGTGCCTCCTCGAGCCTTCAGAGTTCGGCTTGCTTGTCCTCTCCTTCTTGTGTTCTGCTCCTTCTGAAACTCTTCACCACTCACTACCAAGCGCAACACACACACACACACACACGTCGGGACGCACATGCACTTTTGCCGAAGAGCTGAGGCGCCCGCATCTCAGGCTGCTGCACTGAACGGCAGTTGCAAGTGCCTCGGATTGGAGCGGCGCTACAGACGGCGGACCTTTCTGAAGACCCCCGAAGCCGAGTTGCGGCTGCTCCCTCCTCTCGGATGCCGTTCCAGCGGAGGCCTCTGAGAAGAGAAGAGACGGAAAGAGACGGGAGTCGGGAGCTGATAGCTTTTCTGAGCCGGTGGCTTAAGCTTCTCAGCGAGGTGCAACCCTGCGAAGGTAGGGTCGAAGGTCGCAACTCTAAGCAGGCATCGGACACGAACCTTAAGAGCATCCGCCACCAGCCTGGCCCCTGGCATCTCAAGGAAGGAGCAAAAAGCCGAGGGCTGCCGCTGCGGTGGCGGGAGGTTTCGGGGCCCCACCAGCATCTCGCAAGGAGCGGCCCGTCAAATCCTGCAGTGTTGCGGCTCTCTGTGAGCGGTGAGCTCTCAAGAATGCGTGAGCGGCATGTGGCGCATCTCACACATCCCCGGCCGGGCTCCCCGCCAGCTCCGTGATCGAGGCCAGGACCTCGCAGGGCGGCACAGGGCGGCGCAGGGGCGCAGGGCTGCGTCTTCCTCTCCCCTCGGCCTGCAGCTCCGGAAGCAGAAGCCGAGCGCGAGAGGCCTCCTCTCCGCGGCTCTGCGGCTCTGCGGCGCTTGCCCGTGGCGACGCTCAGCTCAGCTCCCGGCCTGGTAAGCTTCCATGCTGCAGTCACCACACCTCACAGACGAGCACAATACGAGTACAGCTGCTCGTCACATTGGAAGTCGCAGCTTCTGCCGAGGAGCGTCATCCCGTTGCCCATCTCTTTGCACGACGCCAGCGACGCTGAAAGCCATGTGCCGTAACTACTTCCCCACTCCCAAACATCAAGCGCACCTTTGCATGAACAGGTCTGGAATGCAGGCAATGGTCATGCGCAGAGACTGGCCTACACATGGCTCAGCTCTGTTCAGAGTGTCGGTTGCATGTGACTCTTAGCCACAATGAGAAGTTACGCTCGTCACAATAGAATCGGCCCAAATCCTTGCTTGAGCTGCTCGGCTGCAGAAACTCTCAGGGTTCGTGAACACATCGAGCTCTTGATGTTATTGCTGAAAGGTCCGTCACCTTGTCTGCCTTGTCGAGGGTGTACTGGAGCTGCAGGACGTGTTCGATCCGCTGCAACGGGACAAAGCGACTCAGTCCATGACCCCATCAAGTCGATGATGCGCCCGATCGATCAGCTGTGCCGCCTGCGTCTCTCCCAGAAAAAGAACAGCGCCTGCGTCTCGAAAGGGCCACCGAACCCCGCCCCGAAAACGGGCCTCCTTAAGATAGAAGATGCTCTGCTTCGAGAACTCCCCGACCAGCCCGACCTCCGGAGAGCGCCCGCAACTGTGCCAGCGCTGTGCCAGCGCTGCGCGCAGCACTGCGCGCCTGCTCTGCAAAGGCGCGGGCTGCCGGGCGCTGCAGCTCCTGGCTTCTGGCGCCAGAAGAGAAGCGACGGAAGCCGGGGCGACGGGGCGACGGCCGTCCCTGCATTCAGCCCAAGGCTCCGATTTCGGCCGCGAGGAGTAGTCTGGCGGCTTGGCCTGCGAGGGGCCATCGGCGGAAGGTGTGCCGGCTTCCACAAATGCCGAGGCCCATGCACAGAAGTACCTCAGCTCACTCTTCAATCTCTACACCACTCCACACTTCTTCTTTGCATGCAAGCTGCGCATCATTCATGATCTTCTTGCACTTTGCCTGGCCCGTCGTGGCCGTACACATTGCTATGATATGACGATGCACTTCTCAAAAACCGCATGCCGATGCCACTGGTTGTTGTGGTTGCAGACTTTGAAGGAAGTTTGGATCCAGTCCGGCCACGAAAAATGCAGCCAAGACCTGAGTTCTGTCAGAGTTGCATGGAAAGTCAAGCTGCATCAACACCTTACCATTGAGTTCCGTGCACGATGCTTGCGACCCTTGCTGTGCATGCCTGTCAGTCTCCAAACGTGTCGCCGAAACCAAGCTTCGAGCCGGATCATGTGCCTTGGAGAGGCAATGGCCACGAGATTGCCTCACCAATGATGATCAGCTTTGATCACAGGATTCTGCCAGTACTTTCTGGTTTAGATTGTTCCACTCCGTGCTGGGTCGTTGGCTGACGCATGGTGCATACTGCATGGTGCAAAATGCTCCGTTGTATTGGGTCGCCTTGAATGGCAAGCCCACACGGAAGATCACGCATCAGACAGCTTATTCAGATAAAGGCACCCCAAGAAGTCGTCACCTGCAATGACATCGCGATACAGAGACACCATTGCCCGTGATCTGCTGGCGGCATTTCGCACAACGTGACAGGCTGAGGGCACAGCTTGCAAGCAGAGTGAGGCTAGAAACACCAGGCATGAGGCATGGATCGATCTGGAGACTTCAGCTTGTTGTAAAATTGGCAACCACCCATTGCTGTCCATTGCTTTAGCTGTTCTCCATGATGCGGTGTAGTGTATGCTTTCACCATGCACAAGGCCAAATGGCTCAAACGGCAGACATGTGCCACCAACAAGTCCAAACGCACGGGCCAAACAAAACTTTGTCCAAACGAAAAAGCACCATCCACACATCTGATGATTGGCTGGGAACTAATGCACAGCAGATTGTTCTTATCACCATCCTGGAGTAGAGCGAGTCTTGTTGTTGAATCCGTTGTGCGTGCATTGAAAAATTTGCCTTTCTGGAAACCCAAAGATAAAATGTAAATTTGTGGGGCTTTGGAAGAATTTCCAGAAGCTAGGTGTGCCGCAAATCATCTTCCGACGCTTTTTCGCGAAAGCACTGGCAACCTTTCAGGCCCGACCGTCACAAACTTGATTGTAACAGCCCTTTCCCGCGTATTGATTATAGGCCTGGTGGTACTTCGACGGTAGATTGGCCGGGGGCAGCCTCGCCATCCTCGATCATTTGGTTGCAGTCAGATTCATGCTTCTGTTCATGGTGTCTGGGAGATACGAGTGGATCTGCGTTTTCTAAAATGTTTTAGGTAGGCTTGCACTGCTCTAGCACTTCAGCTCTCTTTTTACTGTTGGATCTGTAGGCATAACGGCTAGCCGAAGGCTGACAGATGCTGCAGGGCAGAATCTGTCCAAAGGGAAAACACCCCCGGCTAGACTTTGTGAGAAGACGAGTGAACATGCATGCATTCGTCTGGAATTCAGGCAAGGCTGAGGCAGCTCTAGAGCTAGGAAACACCCTGCGTTAGAGTGCTTAGGGCAATTGGCTAAGGCCTAGCCCTGTGAGGCAGAGGGCACGACCTGGGAGTCCGTTTGACCGTAATATAGGTGTACGTAGGCCGCATGGCCAAATGACCGTGAAAAAAGACATTGACCGTGAAAAACCATATGGCCACGAAACCAGTGTGAATTCACACGGGGCCTTGTGAATTCACGCGGGGCTGGGAATTCACATGGTGAGCTTGTGAATGTACAGAATTCATTGGCTATGAATTGTACAGCGCGTGAAGCAATAGCTTGTGAAGTTTCACTTTGTGTTTGGGGGTTTGTTTCTGTGCAAAAAAAGTCTTTTGCACATTTAGCGTGTCACACCCCCACAGCGGTTCGATTTAATCCGTTTATACCCAGATCGGCCAAACGGGCGGTTCAAACCTATAGCTCTAGAATGATTTTGGCTCAAAAGAAGAAAGACAAACTTCTGAATTTCGGCTCGATCCGGGAGAAAAAAAGAAGAAAGACGCTCAAAGCCTTAATATATGCCCACATATAGTATATATATATATACCGGGCATTTTAAGGCTTTGACCCAACATATACAGAGGCCCTACGACATATACATATATATATATATACATATACATATAACTCTCTCGAGCTCTCTCTCGAGCTCTCTCACTCATATATTCCAGTGGGGGCAACGAATGTTGCCGATATCCAATGGGGGCAACGAATGTTGCCGACTGAACAAACGCAGCTAGTGATCAAGGCTTAATTCTTGGCCCCTTTCGATTTCGGATGTCGGCCACGTATTTCAGATTCATGCATTGCGACCGATTGCATGATTGGGATCATGATCCAAAGCTGGCAATTAACATTTTGCCTGTTGTCGATTCTTGTATTTGATTCTGCGATCGTCCGACCGCAAGGCCACAGGAGGCTCAGCGATCTTGCCTCTTCAGCCAAATCAGCACGTCATACAGACATATGTGCTCTATGATAGATACTTCACCAGCATGCGCTTTTGGAGCTCTCCTGCTCTATGTGTACATATGGGGTACTTGATATAGTATTGCATGGTCTATATTCATCCCATATGTATACATGCTTGTATGTTCGTGTATGTATATGCATGTATATGTGACATATGTGGATTTAGTTATGGATGCATGCATGCACACGTACCTATGTGCACATATGCACGAACTTGCAGCCCATCCAGAGCTGCATCGATCAGGTTCTTACAAACATAAGATGTCGTCGCTTACCGTACCCCGACATAATTAAGAATAACCCTACGTTAACCCTAAACCCCGAACCCTAACGTAGAACAACAAACCTTAACGTAGACATACTGTGTGCCGTCGAGCTCGACGGTGATCGAATGGCCGGGCAGTGAGCCTGCAGTGGGTGGACGTGCCCCAATGGGGCAATTAGCTAGTACCGGGTTTGTCTTGAATTGAAGCTCAGGGTGTGCAGGCTCAGGATCATTTTTCAATAGGGCCTTTGACTTGGGGCTATAGGGGGGGTGTCGGCGGCTACATGCAGGCCATTTACAGTCCTGGAGCTTCCGGGTTTTTCTCGGGGGTTACAACATACACTCCAAGACGATAGATGAATCTTCACGGCCTCGAGCTAATAAACCTGAAGCTTCCAACACCCAAAACCTTCCTATCATGTACATCCCGACAACCATCGCAAGTTTGGATCTTGCATTGGACTGTAATTTCCTATTTACTCTATCTCGGTACTCCCTATCTCAACAGGTTTATGTACCTAGGCTCCCCAGTGCAGGCCTAAACCCGACAGAGCATAATGCAGCGATCTACGTTCTGAGATCAGAAAACATGACCAAAAGATATGGGCTCTATCGCGACAGGTACGTATGGATGGCGACCCTCATGGACCTCGCTACATCGTTGCCAACAGGTGCTTCCCAGCCCCACGCTTTGTGCCGATCAGTTCTGCGAAGTGCTCTGACATTCAGTTTTGATGCACTGCATGTGGCCATCGCTTCAGATTGAGAATTCTGCAGCCGGGCCCAGGGTTTGTGCTGTGTAGTGTTCTGTGTAGCATTTAGCAAACGCATAGAACCATCCACTGGAGGACTAGAGGTGCTCTTTAATTTGAAGCCCGGCTCACCCGCACTGCTGCTTAAGCTTATAAAGATGACGACCTCGACCAAAATGGTGGAAGCTGTGGCGGCCGCCTTCGCACAGGAGCCAGGGCTGAAGGAGGCTCGCCCGATCCTGCATTCCCACTGCTAGCTTCATTTGATCAGCCTTTGATTGCGGTATTAGCGGTGGTGTGCTTACATATGATGTCAACATAAATTCACGTAAATGTACGCATGGAAGCTTACACACATATATATACATATATATATATATATATATATATATACGTAGTTACATACTTCCAGGCATACGTACATACATGCATACGTATGTATATACATACATAACTACGTGTACACATACATACATACATACATACATACATACATACATGCATGCATGCATGCATGCATGCATGCATGCACGCATACACACATACATATATACATATCATACGCACACATACGAATATAATACTTATGTACAAACATGCAATGATTCCACCAAAGATTCCATCATTCGTTCATGCTTGCATATACACGCACAACACACGCACACACAAGCGCACAGACTTAGCTTAAGTAGAGCTGCTAGTTACTAGTTTGCATCACACAGCACATACGACCCGGCAGGTGGGGCTTGGCTTCCTTTGCAACCACTCGGGCAAGCTCTTCACAAAGAAGCCGAGCTTGAAAGATGTGCGGTGCAATCAGAATGTACTTGGATTGCATAGAATGTGTGTGCATGCAGGTCCCTTTCAATTCTAAACATTGAGACATTTGGGAACCCTTCTGAGGCAATCTTCGCAGTGGTCAAGGCTACGAATGGGGCGAGCCGATTGAGTGCCTATATGCTTCGGGATGCGATCCTTAAGTTCTACACCAATAACCACTTGTTTCCGGCTGGGCTATGTGCAGATGCTGAGTGTACCCAAACCTGGGCTTTGAAGCATGGCAATGCCTTGAAGAGGCTAGTGGCTTTGCTGATTGATATCGTGCCATTCGTTCAGCGCATGTGGTTTCAGGACTAGTGACTAGTGAAGTGTTGTGTGCCAGCTCAGGTTGGCCGCACCCGGCGGATTTGCAAGAGGGCCAAGACTTCCAAGGACCGCAAGCTGAACCCTTTGAGAAACCGGATCGCTACATTGGGAATAGCTAGCTTGGTCACTTGTCTTTTATCGATCCACATTCTCATTGTCGAGTGCATGATGCATTGGTACGATTGCATGGCAACATGTACTGCATCTAAACCTAAGGTGTGCAAGGACAAGGGTGACAAAGATCATGACGATGAAGACTCGAATGATGGTGTGCCTGCTGCACCTGCACCGGGGATTCGGATGCTTTCCTTTGAAACCTTGTCTTTGGCTTCGGGATCCAGTAGCGGCTCCTCCACGTCGGGTACGTTGTCGAGCGGCGGCCTGTCGGTCCGTGATTCTGAGGTGAGTCGTTTGGCTTCGCAGCTTCAGGGTCTTCGTTTGCTGAGCAAGGGCTCTCCGGGTCCGAGTGTCGGGTCCACTGTCACGACTACGGCAAGCTTGTTTGACTTTGCTGGGAAAGCCGATTCGGAGCCTGCTCAGCCTGCTCATATCCCCTCCGGCAACAAGCCCGAAAAGATCCTGCCTTCCCGGGTTTCTCAGCTGCCATTACAGTGCATATGGTTCATACATGATCCGAGAAACACCTAGATCTAGACATTTAGACAGCGATCGATTGCACCTCAGGTTTTCGCTGACCTCGCCACGTGGCTGCCTGAACCTTCGAAAGGGTTCCCCTTGTCCAGCCAGTACGCAGGGGCCTTCGATGCTGAGGATGTGGATGGCATTCACGAGCCGCCTGAGGATCATGAACCCAAGCCCAAAAAAGCGGGGAACAAGAAAGCTACGAAGCCGAAGAGCAAGGCAGGTTCCAAAAAAGCGGGGCCCAAGAGCAAGGCAGGTTCCAAAGAAACGGGGCCCGAGAGCAAGGCAGGTTCCCAAGAAACGGAGCCCGAGACGGAGGAGCTGGACCCGGACTTATACGATCAGTACGCGCCCAACCTCTATGGTGAGAAGCGACTAACGTACATCGCTACACACGCTCCACAGCATGGCAACAAGGAGGCAGCTAATATGTGGAACTCGTCGCTTCAGAAGGCTAGGATGCTGGCTGGTGTGAGCTTACGGGAGCTTAAGAAAAGGAAGTTCGTTCCCAAAGAAGCCACTGAAAACCCTTTTGTCAAGATCGTCAAGCAGGCGAAGCTTGCTGCAGTGGGCGGGGCATGATTTTCGATGAAACATGCGCTTTTGCCATGGCCTGTACGTAGCTACATACTGCATACAGATACATTGAAGCCTCGTAGCACAGGATCATACAACTTGTTGTCATGGTTTCGATTGCAGGCCTGGGCTGCCATGCACCCTAATTATTATGGGCTTCTGCTGCAGGTGGGCACGTTTAATACGTGTTGTCGCATGCAATGGGCTCTTAACGGGAAATCGCACTGTGGCTGTGAAAGACTGTCGTGAGAGAGAGAGTGAGCAATGCATGTCCGGAGATCGCAAGGGATGCTGTGTTGCAAGCGACATGTGCTTCAATTCGAGCTTGCTCTGTACTGCGTGTGCTTCATGGATCTAGACTTGAGCTTAGCCTGGGGAGCCGGTGATATACTGAGGGGCCCCTATTACAGCTGTGACCATGGTTGTGTCTGAGCTGCTCGCGATGCGGGCCCCGCCTGTCCTTATGCTTATGGTCATCCTGCTGATGTGGTACCCAAAAGCGCCGTGTGTTCAGGACCATAACCAGTAGAAAGTTAGCACATTTGTATGTGTATGTGTGTTGCAAACTTAAACTTTGGGAGGACCGGGACTTCGTCGAGCTGTTTTGTGGTAAGATGGAGGTATCTCATGCACTACGCCGTGCAACTCGATCGAACTAAAACGACTGTTGGGGTTACTAACCTATGCCCGCGGCTCGAAAAACCCCACTTAGCCCAGGCAGGACTCCGCGGCACCTCCCTCGACATCGAGCTGGATCCGCAGACGATGGATTTCCTGAAGCCGGCGGGCTTTTGGCTGCTTGTGTTGCAATTATTAGTTGGCCACCCATAGCACGCACAGGAGGATCGCAACATTCGATCATTATGTGGTATAGCGGTATAGCAGTGTTGCGATAGTTCAACACCAAAACACTGAGGACTTTGTATGTCACAGTGGTTATTCCACGGTCTAGAGTATAGCATCGTATGTGGGTATGATCGAAAGATTAAGAACATATCCTTCGGCGAGAACATAAAACTGTACTAGCACTGCAGCCGTACCTTCCATGCATCGTCGTAATGTCCTGTAGATAATAACATATACAACAAACTCCGAACAAACCATTCTTCATGTATGATATATATGTATATATATATATATATATATATATATATATATTTATTTGTTTCCCTCAGCTATCACCTTAAGTACTTCTAGCAATATGGAAACCCGAACCATACTAGACTGTCTCCTCATTATATAATGAGATCCCAAAGTAAACCACCTATGCTTCTATATATCAGGTATTACACAACACACGATTCTTCCCGGCTTATCTAAGTCTGGCCCTCCTGGAAATCCTACGCTGCCGGCCGGGCGGTTTGGTACTTCTGGCACTGGACTGCAGGAGCTTCAGCACCATGCATATCGATTGCAATTTCCGTATTGCAATGCATTGTAATCAGAGCTACCGAACTCTTGCATCTCAGGTGCCGTCATACGTCTGGACGGTCAATATTTCGACCGTATGGAAATGAACAATTTCCGTTTGTCTCTGAGGGCAATGTGCTTTCAAGCAGAGTGATTCTGCTGATCTTCGTGTGCCAACTTCGGGGTCTTCGATGGGTGGTGGAGCAACCTTGTCGGTCTTTCCTGCCTGCTATGCCTCGATTTCAACAGTTGTTGCGCTCCCTCAAGGCCATGGGTTTCTTAATTTAATTATGGGTCTGCATGCAATCAAACCGACAATCAAGCTTTCACGCTGGGAGGTCTGGACTGGAGGCTTCTGGATGGGTATGTTCAATGGGCCATCAGCGAAGCGACATACACTCTGGAGCAACGAACCAAAGTTGATTCAAGCCGTGATGGACCGAGCTGATCGAATGACGCCAGGTAAGATGTCGACACTCCAGCCGTTGTGCCACTACTACAAGGACTCACTGGGAGTACAGCGACGAATTGGCAAAAGAGCTGAACTGAAAGCCTCTCAGATCCTCGACCAATGCTAGCTAGCTCAGGCCCAGACCGCTTGGAAACATGCCGCAAAACAGCTTCTGAGCTAAGGAACTACACGAGGAACTTTGGTGAGTTCCTGGCTGGTGCCTTCCTGAACCTCCGGTCGGCACCATTACTGCAGCTACATTGTATGGGTGCAATATGACATAATTGTACTTAATTATAATTCCATAGCCTCGAATATCTCAGGAGCCCTTCGTTCCTGAGAACCGCCTCCCGGGATTGGGAGCTGATGATCTACGGAAATCCGATTATGAGCTCTTCGTGCAGGAGTGCTTGTCGGAGCGGGGCATTAATGGATTGGGGGATCTTTGGCCTGATGTGGCTTACTTTGAATTATATATAGGGGTTCGATTATGCTTGAACTGCGATATGTACCCTTCCCCATTGATCCCGATCCGAGGCAAAAGCCATCGATGTACTTATGTATATGTCCAAATCAAAATCCTTGGAGCTCCCTGGAAATTGGGTATCCTGGCTTATTATGTCATAAAGAGTACAAGAACCCCGAAAATTCACAAATATATCTCCTGCTGGGATCCCAGGCCAATGTGCTCTCGATGATCGGCTTGGGTGGCTGAACCTGGGCTTTGAGCTCTTGATCATAATTAAAGGGGGTAGTTTAGGCTACTGCCAGCTACAATGGCCTATGCTGTGTGCTAAGCCAGCTGGCCGTGAATTCTTGTGAAAGCGCCGTGAGAAGTAACCAAACGACCGTGAACCTAGCGTGAAAAATGTGAGTTCACGCGGAGCCTTTTTGCTGAGTGTCCTGGATGCACGTTCATGCGAAATCACGCTTCTTCACGTTGCTTAAGTTTGGCAAAGCTGTTGGGTGTGAATTCTGATGTTCTTTTTCACGTGACTTCACGTGTTGGGCCCTAGCTGCCAATTTAGCAGTACGTAGTTTGTGCTAGAGCGCAATGGGAAAGAAGAGTGCGGCGGCGGACCCGCCGGAAGTGGCTGATGTTATGGCTATGCTTCAAAGCAAGGGATTGCTAAAGCGTGGTGCTTCAGAAGCCCCAGCAGCTGAGCGATCTCAGAAGGAGCTTAAGGTTGAGACCCGAGCCCGGAGCAAGCGCAAACAGGCTGATGCCAAAGCAGAAGCTGAGAAGCCCGATGAAGAGAAGCCCCCGAAGAAAGGGAAACCCAGCAAGGACCAAGCCGGCAAGAACCCCACCGAGAAGCAGGAGGAACCCAACAAGGAGCAGCCGCAGGAGAAGAAACCCAGCAAGGAGAAATCCCAGGAGAAACCCGGCAAACCCCCCAAGGAGCCGAAGAAACCCAGCAAGGAGCAGTCCCAGGAGAAACCCAGCAAACCCACCAAGGAGCCGAAGAAACCCAGCAAGGAGCAGTCCCAGGATGCCACTAAGGATGAGGCATCTGCCGATGAGGATCTGGGTCCGTTCGAGGAGTTTCCACCTGAGAAACCCGGGGCTTGGGGCGAGGAGTTCTTCGAGACGGGGCTTAATGTCGTGGTGAGCTGGAAAAACTTGGATGATGTGTGGCGAGCTTGCAAGGCTTCCGACAAGCCGATGTACAGAGACATGCAGTACGATGCACTTGTGCAGATGATGGAAAAAGCTCTAGGGGCTCGTCCTCCAACACAGGACCCGGGTGCCTCTCTTCAGCAGCAACCTCAACAGCCTGTGGCATCAGCAGTTGACCAGCAACAAACACAGGAGCAAGAGCAGTCTCAGGAGGAAGGTGATGACGAGGAGCAAGACGACCAGGAAGGGGAGGAGGAGGAAGCAGAAGAGGATGAGGAAGAGGAAGAGGTGGAGGAAGTGAAGAAACCGCTTCCTAGCAGTTCTAGCGCCAAGCCACCGCCTGAAACCACAAGCCCGCCGAAGATCAACACGTGGAATGGCATCCCCAGCCCTGCAACGAAGGAGAAAGCCCGCTCCGAGAGCCCCGAACAGGCCCGTCACAAAATGCTTTGTTCTCACTAAAGCCCTAAAAGCCTTAAAGGCCCTACCTAAAAACCCTAAAACCCTAAAGCCCGAAAGTATACATGTTGTTGCCAAATCTTAATGACTCCTGTATAGAGGCGAAGCCAACAGACCTGAACAACAAGTTCAATCGTGTACGGCGGTCGAAGTCCGAACAGCCCCCGTGCTTGCAACAATCGGTCCTTGATTGTTTACATGCAACCGATGACTTACATATTCAATCGAAGTGTGCACTGCATCGAATGCATTGATCAACTGAGGTCCCTGAGTACTTTGGTGCTGGGTGCCCACCTCACCGATGAGCAGGCATACGGGAGTCGTCCAGCCTCGGAGGCTGGTGCGGTTCCCGCGGAGGATCCGCATGAAGGGTGTCATGCACTGCATGCAGTTGTTCTACTATGTACTTTGCCTTGCATGCTGCCTGCCGATTTAATTAAATCCCCTGATGCAAGAGCGATCTGAGGTTGGTGAGTGCATCTCAAGCAGGCAGCGACAGCGAGCTACGAAGTCTCGTGGCAACGATGCAGTCAGAGATCACTAGGCTGAAGGCCATGCTGGCTACGAAGGATGCGAACCCGGGAGCCCCGCCGGCCACACCGCCGGCCGCACCGCCGGCCGCACCGCCGGCCCCGCCTGCGAAAGCCTCGGTTAAGCACGAGCAGAAGGAGTCGGATGGGGAGGATGAGAACGGGGAGGAGCATGAAAGCGAAGAGGAGGATGATGAAGAGGAAGAGGAGGGGGATGAAGACCACGAGACCCCGCCACCAAAGGGCAAACCGCCTGCCACAACCTCTGTGGCCAAGACCAACAAGCCTAAGGGGCCCAACTCGTCGACCCACCGTGCTCAATGGATGAAGTTCGGTCGGCGAATGGACAGCAAGGGCTCGGAGTTCCCCGAAATGACTAAGCTGTGGACCGGAAGCAAAGACGAAACCTGTCGAGTTATAGCATGCATGCTCATCTACATCTCGAGTGTATAGAGATGTGCACCCTAGCCGAGGAACAGCACGAAGTGTTCGCGAAATGGCTCGAGGAGGGCGAGAACATGAACAACACGGAGGCCCAGCTGATCATCACCAAGACGAAATCGGCCGAGGTGAAGAGTGGCTATGAGGAGCTCACCGTGAAGGAGATGGTTGCGAGAGGATTCAGTGCGAACCCTGATTGCACTGCAATGTTTGCAATATTACTACCAATCCTTTACACACAACACTCTGAGATGCTATTGCCTCCTCATCTAAGGACAAAGATCGAAAGCATAGTCAGAAAGGGTGGAACCCCTGACCCCGACGCCCCTCACTGCCTCGAATCCATCGTGTATGTTTGCCGGAAGAAGAAGAACGTGGAAGAATCCGAAAAGGTTTCCCAGACCGGCGAAATCAAGTCGAAGATGAAGGCCAGTGCCAAGGCCGTGGCCCCGTTGATGAGGTTGAACGGAATGCCGGGGCCTGGATCGACCTCGGGCGCCACCGATGCAGTTTTGCAGCTTGCTGCGAACGCTTTTGCTTCGGGCACCGAGTCAGCATTGAGGGGCTAGAGGTAAAGGTTCCACGCATGCACGGTTTGGTGGTGTACTCCTGCTCTACCTGATTCTACGCACCGAGGATCGGCCGACGCCACCGCCGCCGCCCCCAAGAGGAACCCGAAAAGCAAGGCCAAAGCCAAGGCAAAAGCCTTGATCCAGGCGCCCAAGACACCCAAAGAGCTTTTGGATGAATGCCGTGTCTCGGTTCGTCTTAACCACTGGACCCTCAAAGCCCCCATACAAAAACCAATCAAGCTTTTCCCAACTCAGGCAAAGAGCTGAAGAAAGAGTACAACGCCGCGAATATTTGCTACGACCTGCCGAAGGACCATGCTTTGCGCAAGGACATGGAAGGCAAAAAGGGCGATCTGGAAAACCGGCTGGATGAGCTACCTAGCTGCCTACATACCCAACCCCAGCTGTAGAAGCTCTAAATAATCACGCATGCATTGGCTACACTACACTTATACATAATAATGGGGTCCCATGATCTGAGGCTGAGGAGTGTGGCGGATGATGATGCCGAGGATTTCGTCGACGAGTGCAAAGCACTGGCTGCTAGATTGCAATCTAAACAGTATGTGCACCCCTTTAGAAGCCAAGCCCGAAACCCTTATGCCCACCAAGGTCGAAAACACCCGGATGGTGCGAGCACAGGTCCGTGCTGTGGCAGCTGAGCTCCAGCGCAAATCTGCTTCGGAGACCAAGTAGAACAGTCCTGTGTGGGAGGACTGTGGGGTCTAGGGCACACCGCTTCTGCATCGAAGGTTGTACGTATGGCTGGATAATATTCTTCAGACCCAACAAATCATATGAACCGCTCGACCCTTTATGACTTCGTTGTGGGGGATAGCCTGTGCCCTAGCTGTGCTTTTGAAGCAGGGGTGATGGTACCTAGATATGTGCCATAGATTCCCTCGGCTTGCGATTGGAGCATACGATCACGATCTGAACATGCTGGATAGCCCAGTGTGCTGTGCTCGATGCCACAAGATCGTGACCTCAAGACTGCTGCAAAAAAAGCATTGCATTGGCACTTTGTACCGCTAGCTGCATGTTGTGATTATGAGCTGAACCCAATATGTGTGAACCCACGCAGGTTCAGAGATTTCTTCGATACGAGATGAGGTGGATCGGGTGTTACTCGGCTTTTATGGGGTTAGACCGGCAATGATGTAGTGTCTCTCACAAGCTCAGGCTGGCAAAAACCATTGGACGTGGCTATGCATCAGTCAGGCATGCTGCAGAGATCGGTGCTGCGGTGGGCAGCAACCTCTTGAAATCGATGCATGGTTTAAACTTATTGACTAAATCTGAAAGTTACGTTCAAGCCCGAGCACCTCCGCATACGATGATCGTCGTTCGTTGTGTCGAACCTCAGGAGCAAGGAGCAAGGACTTCATGAACGAGCCGCTAAGCAGGGGCTGGCTTTGAACTGCGAGGTGTCACAGGTTTCTCTGCCGATGCTGGATGATGACAAAGTAGTCTGGCGAGACTGGCCGATGATATTGCCGCACAACTTCGAGCTTAGACTGCAGCTAGCTGGGTTATGCTAGTGTGTACTTCTGATATGTAAATAGTACACGCGAATTAATCAAATAAGGTTGCTGCAATGGCCCGTCATGGTCATCTTGATATGCTGGTGGCTGACTGGGATATGGTTCCCGACTACTGGACAAATTTTCTTCGCGAGCACCCCGGGCACCCTGCAAGGGATAAAATGAGCACCTCCATACCATGCACCCTCTACTGCTACTGAGCTATTATATAAGAAGGCACAGCTGTTTGGGTTTGGTGCTTTTCTAGATGTGGGGACGTAGGTTATTTTCTTAGTTTATAATAACCTTATCTATTTGGTTTTTAAGAAACTTCTCATGGGCACAGGTGATGAAGCTACAGCTGTGAACGAAACCTGGATGTTTCTTATGTTTACAAGTGACCTGCACCCGGCTCCGGGACACTCTGCCTCATCGCGATTCCTATGTGCAATCATACCGGTATCAAGGTATGTGTTGAGTGGTGATGGTACGAACCTGACTCTGCAAGCAGCCTGCTGGGAAATTACGCAAAGCTTCAACAAGCTTTCGAACGAGGGTCTGGTTTTGCACGACTTGCCCTCAATGGGAGGAGGACCTGTGCTCTGACTGCCATAAGCAAATGTACTTTAGCAAGAATACAGTATACAGGGTTTGGATTTGGATTCGAACATGTTCCATTCCTAATGTATCCCAGGTGATCCGGCTACATTTCTTCGTGGCTGGCTTTCGCGGCGACTGGAAGGCTCTTCGGCAATCCTTCAACTTCAACCGCTATGCCGACCGAGACAAGGCGGGCTCGACTCAAGACTTCAGTTCAACAACACGAACAGTTCTCCGTGTGGCTATTTTTTACCATCATCTAGCAATAATAGTTATAATCATAAACAAAGGGAATCCAGAAGTATAGGCCATTAAGCCCCATAAATGATCTTCCTCGTCATTTTGTGATGCATTCCCTTTGCAAGATCTGCTGGATGTGCGAAGCGACCAAAGGCGCTGAGGATGATGCAATGGTGTTTTTACAAACCTACATACAGCGCCGTACATGCAAACGCTTTATCAGCAAGAGCCCTGGACCTACAGACCAGCTTATCACAGTTTGGCGGGCTTCCATCCAAGCCTTATCTTTCCTGATATTTTGCACTGCTACCACCTGGGCTGTGGAAGAGACCTCTTGGGATCAGCCATTGTTATAATGATCATGGCTGGGTTTTTTGGACTGGGAACCATCCCGGCTAAGCTGGCTGAAGCTACACGTCGACTCAAGCTGTATGCCCAAAGCAACAAGCTGAACCTTCGCTTGAAGAAACTCACGAGAAAAAAACTGAACTGGACGGGTGCGAACAAGTACCCGGAGCTGAACCGACGCTGCAATTCTGGTTTTTCTCAATCTGTATTTTGAAAGTAGTATTAAACAAATAGATTTAGCATAAATGATTTGAAGTACCCAAATAGGAAGAGTTCTGGCTTCGACTCCTACGTCGTGCAGCAGTTTTTGTTGCATGAGATTTATAATTCGACGGACACCTCGAATTTGGATCGACGACTCATTTTGGCATTGTGGGCAAGCAATCATTGCATCACTCTTTGGTCGAACTCGACCGGGAGATTTCTCACTGGTGATGAGATTCGCAATGTGCGCGAAGCTGGCATGCTGTATTTGAGATCCTATTGTGCTTTAGCAGAGGAGGCAATTGGCGAGGAGAGACGATTGTATCGCATCCGCCCAAAGCTCCACTTGCTGCACCACCTATTTGTAAAGAACGGCTGTGTAAACCCGCATTGTTACTCGACCTGGATGGACGAAGATGCTCTCAAGCATCTTATGAAGACATTGCGGGGCACAGACCGACGGACTGCCGAAGAGCGTCTGTTACAAAGGTGGCTTTTGGGTCTACCGTCGAGCTTCGAGGCAGTCCGTGGAAAAATGAGGGCCCGGCCGATCCCAGGACGGCCAGCTCGTCGATGCTCACATAGGGGGCGAGGGCTTTCAGGCTTTAAAGCCTAAATTGGCCTAAAATTAGATTCAGGATCCCGGGGCCCGGGGTTCAGAAGATCGACTGCAGGATTGGTGCATACATTGGGGCTTTGAAGCTTCAAATCTCTTCGACACTTCGAAGCATATCTCTCTCGATCCCTCTCCCTCGCGGATTCAGAATTCAAGCACAATCAAAATCCCAAGCCTCAGCCCCCTCGAATTAACCCCCATAGCCGTAAACCCGAACTCAACCTCCGAGCCCAAACCCGGAACCCAAAACCAACAGCTTTCAGGGAGTCAAGGGCTTTCTCGAGTGTGTGTGTGTGTGTGTGTACATATGTGGATATGTGACATATATATATATATATATACGTATATTTAAATACAACCACAAGACCCTAAAGCCCCTAAAGACCCTAAATCCTTAACCCTGCCCAGGTACATGGCTCAAGGTTTCCGCTCTGATGCCCATGATGCTATAAATGTTAGGGCTCTTTTTTTTTGTCTGGCTCAAGCGTTTCCTTTGCTCTTGATGCTCACGGCTCAATACGTGAGGCTCAAGCGCTTGTGATGCTCTTGATGTGTACTTAAAGGCATGTGATGCTATGATGCTTACCTTTCGAAGGTTTCGTGTGGCTCAAGCGTTTGTGCTCAAGATGTGTAGGATGCTCAGGAACGACCAATTCCCAAAACCGTATGTCCATGAAAAAAATGATTGCCCACTTGTGGCTTGTTTCGTGTACGCTCCGGGTATGGCCACCAAGATTATGGTCAAACGGACTCCCAGGAAGGCAGAATCTGTTCGTGAATGAATCGGCGACCGCGGAACATGGGACAGACCAGCTCCAAAACGTGGCCGACGAATCAAACCAATTGGGGTCGACAGCGTCCTCATGAAAGACTAGAGTGACTAGAGGGAGAACACTGTCGCGGATGAGCTCCGATCGCGAGACATTCAATGAGCCCAGGTACACTTGGTCTCCCTCATTCTCCCACCACTGTCTCAGTGCGTCCGGGTGGCTGATGAGTGTATCTCTTTGCGTCGCTCAAAAACGTTTCTGATGACATCTGATGGAAGCACAAAAGAGACCTCTTCTTCGACCACCCTGACTGTCGTGGATCTCAGATCGATCAGGGGCACTTCGGTGCAATATGGTTCGAATGGTAGCCTCGCCCACTTCCAGAAATCTCGCTCTTGCTTTGTCCCAGCCAGTTGCTGCTTCGATTTGCCTCGAGCTCCGTCTTTCAAGAATGCAGCAGTAATCGCAACCCCTTTCTTCAAGGAGAGGCCCTCAGTTCCCAAGTCCAATAAGAACCACAACAGCCCAGTACACAGTACTGTTTATGAATGCCATGGTTCTTCATGGAGCCGAATAATTATCAGGTGTCCAAATAGGATTAACTTCATCGGAACTGAAATAAGGATTTCGGAACGACTCTGCAGCAGGGGCTCGCCAGCACCGACCTCCTCGGCCACAGCTCGAGCTCCTGCAGTAAATTCCTCCAGTCTCCTGAGATCGATATATGGGCGGGACTGTCGGGCTGCTCGTGATCAAAAAAGTCCGAGATTCAGGGTATCGAGCAATAGGATCATATGACAAGAGATTGAATTTGTTTCACCAGATACCGGAGTGCACGGGCAGGACAGCTTTTGTATATACAACCGAAGATATCTACCAATTGATTCGCAGCCAACATATTGGATATCCTGGGCATTCTAGCCTAGGTGGAATTTCCGGATATTGGCATCGATATGGGATCAGGGGTCTGTTGATCTTGTTGCCATACATTCAATTCTCATTTTGTGACACGGATTTGGAGTTGCAGTATCAAGCGGCCTTGACCGCATCTACTCCGAAACGATATTGAGCTAGGACGATTTGAAAAGGAATGATTCATTTCATATTGCAACATACGGGATTTTCGGAGATTCAGGGTATATTGAGTTAGGATTATATGACAAGATAGAGAATTTTGTACCACCAGATACCGGATAGCACAGGAATGACAGCTGTTTGTATGACCGAAGACATCCACCTTGCAAGTTCCAGAGGATTTGCGACACAGCCTACATTGGATATCCTGGGCATTGTAGCTTGATGTGGGATTTTTGATTATTGGCATCCATATAAACTCAGGGGTCTAGTGATACTTGTTGCCGTATATCCATTTCTGACTTTGTAATATACGGATTTGGAGTTACGAGTGTCAGGCGGCCAGACCGCAGCTAATCCGAAACGATATTGAGCTATGATGATATGAAGCGAATTACTTCAATTCATTTGCCAACATACCGGAATGAGCAGGAATTACCACAATGTGTAAGACTGAAGATACAGTTTCTGAAATGTCAGGTGGCAACGATACACTAGGAATTCATGGGCAATACAAATTGGGAATTCATATTTACTACAACGAGCGAGCCGTACCGATGTAAGGGTTTAGGGGGTCTTAGGGTTTAGGGTTTAGGAGGGCTTAGGGTTTAGGGTTTAGGCTGGCATTGGAGTTATTTGTGGTTTAGGGTTTAGGGGGTCTTAGGGTTTAGGGTTTAGGAGGGCTTAGGGTCTTAGGGCTTAGGGTTTAGGAGGGCTTAGGGTTTAGGGTTTGGGGTGCCTTAGGCGGCATTTGTGGCTTAGGGCTTAGGGGGGCTCAGGGTTGTTTTTAGGGTTTAGAGTCTTGGGCTTCGGGGTCATAGCCAAGCAGCAGATGCGTGATGCCCGGCATTCTGGCCAGCCCTACAGTGCAACGGGCACAAAACGGCACATCATGAATGCCACGACTCCAAACTCCAACAACGAATATCGGCCAAGCATCAATCTAGGGGGATGCACAGCGTCCGCAGGCCGTGCGACATGCTCGCGGGGCAAGTACCTGGAACGTTGCAAAAGGGCACATGCATGACACCTGTTGGGCTGCTTGTTCAGCGCCCTTGGAGGCTGCTTTTTCAGCGCCTTCCCTAGGATGGTTCTGGCCAACACTCTTCATCGCTGCATGTTTTCTTCCTCGCGGTGTCACCGAAGCGTGCCCAATCGGCAACTGCTGGCGAGCCCTCCAGGCTTGCGATAGAGAATGCCGCGAGTGATCAAACCCCTGCCGCAGTACTTCTGACAGTGCGGCAACCACTCTGCCGACGGATCCATTTGCCCTTTCTCTAGAGGCTACGTACCCTAAAGCGGTAGGCTTGCAAGCTAATCCCATACACTGCTCATGCCAAACTCGATCCATCGACCACGGGTGGCTGTTCTTGGCCTTCTTTTTAGCCGAACCTTTGGTTTTGCATGTGAAGGCTGCCGCGGCCACACAAGCAGCATTTGATTCTTTCTCCTTGGCCAAAAATGCTCGCGCAAGCGGCAGGAAAGCTTGAACATCTTCAATGCCCTGGTTGATCAGCGTCTGCACTTGGGTGTAGATGGACCTGGGCTCTTCAGGGTTCAGGGGTACCGGTGTTCCCAGCAGACAAACATGCTCAAAGAATCATGGAGGCTTTCTTTTGCTTCAATCCTGCAAGACGGGGAGCTTGAAGGCACCATGGCGCTCTTTGAGCTCGGGTGCCAATTTCTCGCCGTAAGAGAAAGGCTCGATGGCGGTAGCCAGCCCTTGGCACTCGTTGGATTTGGCCAATGCCTTGTTGGCCAGATCTCTGGCCTCGATTGCGCACCACCATACTAAACAAAACTCTCTGGTCGGCCAGGCACTCAAAAACGAACACCGGTGCATGCAGTCACAAAGCAATCAAAACTGAGCTGGGGCGTGCTAATCTCGGTCTTCTTGTTCAAGCCACGGCCGGAGTTCTGCCTCTGGACCTTCGCCTCGGACTTTCCACCACCGGGCTTGGCGGGCGACGGAGTTCCGGCATCACTTGTACTCGGAGTTGGCGAAGGGGCAGCAGGCTGCGGAGCGGCAGCAGGCAGCTGCTGCGGTGCGGCACCTGGCAGCTGCTGCGGCGCGGCAGCAGGCAGCTGCTGCGGTGGGGCAGCAGGCAGCTGATGCGGTGGGGCACCAGGCTGAGCAAGCGGTGGATCGGTCGGATTAATCACTTTAGCAGCGGCTGCGAAATTCAGCTTGGGTTGCTTGGTCTCAGGAACCGTCGCGGAATCCTTCACGGCTGCAGCCTCCAACAAGTCCGGCTTGGCGAGGGAGTATCCTGACATGAAGGTCTGAAGATCACCAGGGGAAGCGGCATTGGCGTCCATGCTACCACGAAGTGCCCTCTCTTCTCTGCTGCCACTTGAAAAAATATGCTTCTGCTTCGCCATCAGAAAAAGCTCGCCGTCGGTGACGTTGCTATCAACAACGACAAGGCCTTTTGCCCGCTTCTCCGCCATCAAAGCATCAGCACGATTTCCATACTTCTCCCTCACCTCCAACTCCGTCCAAGGCTCCAACGAGGAGCGGGCCATGCTCTCTGTGATCTTGGTCTCAGCCATCTCCATCTTGAGCTTTGCCCCCACCTTGTCGAAGCTTCCGCCGGCCTCAACCAGCATCGTGATCATCTTGGTTTTCGAGGTGCCTCCATCACCAGTGAGGTGCGGCTGTAGCCACTCTGGCAGCTCCTTCAGTCTTGGGCCAGCGCAAACCCTGAACAGCAAGTTTGCTGCTGCTCGGCGGGACATAGACAGCGTCCCCTCCTTCGACTCATCGCCTTGCTGGGTGGCCATCCTCGAAGCGGTCGGAGCTTTCGGGTCTGCCGTGGAAGCAGGTGCTGCAGGACTTGTTGGCTGTGGCAGTGGATCAGGTTTGGGCGCTGATGCCCGCAGAATAGATGTCGGTGGAGTCGGCGGAGCAGGCGCCTGTGCCACCGCTGGCGGATTCGGTTTCCCTGTCGCGGACTGCAAAGCTGTCGGGTCTGCCGCGGCCCGTGGAGCAAGTGCCGGCGTTTTCGGCTGCAAAACTGTCGCATCCGCAACATCGGTAGCCTCACTCGGGGGCAGCTCATGCATCCATCCGAGCCTTTGCAGCTCGGTGTCGTTCAGCTCCGCGGCGTCGTTCAGCTCTGCGGTTTTCCTTTTATTTCGAAGCTGCTCTAGCTCTTGCCTCAACTGTTGGAGCTTCTGCTGCTTCTCGTTCTTGCGGGCAATCTTCGCGGCTCTCGCAGCCTCCACAGAATCGACACGAAGCTGTTCCTGTCTCAATCGTTCTGCTTCTGCGGCTCGCCGTGCCTCCTCATCCACTTGCTGCTGTCTCAGCCGCAAGCTCTGCTTATCGTCCTCCTCCTTCTGCAGTTTCTGCTGCATCATTTTCTGCACTTTCTCATCCTCCGCCGCCCGGCGAAGCTGTTCCTGCCTCAATCGTTCTTCTTCTTCTTGGGCCCGCTGTCGTTCCTCCGCCTGGAGAAGCTGTTCCCGCCTCAATCGTTCTTCTTCTTCGGCCCGCTGTCTTTCCTCCGCCTCGCGAAGCTGTTCCTGCCTCAATCGTTCTTCTTCTTCTTGGGCCCGCTGTCGTTCCTCCGCCTGGAGAAGCTGTTCCCGCCTCAATCGTTCTTCTTCTTCGGCCCGCTGTCTTTCCTCCGCCTCGCGAAGCTGTTCCTGCCTCAATCGTTCTTCTTCTTCTTGGGCCCGCTGTCGTTCCTCCGCCTGGAGAAGCTGTTCCCGCCTCAATCGTTCTTCTTCTTCGGCCCGCTGTCTTTCCTCCGCCTCGCGAAGCTGTTCCTGCCTCAAACGTTCTTGTTCTTCTTCTTCTTCGGCTCGCTGTCTTTCCTCCGCCTGGCGAAGCTGTTCCAGCCTCAACCGTTCTTCCATCTTCAACCGTTCTACTCGTTCGGCTCGCTCCCTTTGCTCCTCCTCTCTCCGCACCCTGGCTTCGGTCAACTTCTCGGCCTTCTCAAATTGAAGCTCTTCCAGCAATCGTAGTTCTTCGGCACGTTTCGTTTCTTCTTTAAGCAGATCCAACGGTTTGTCATCATCAGAGTCGGATGCCATCTCTGCCAGAAGCTCTGCGACCTCCCGCTCCGCTTTCTGCTCGGGCGTCTCGACATCTGCCTCGACCTCCAGGGCAGGTGCCGTTACAAAGACATCCACACTTACGGGAGACAGGGGAGACAGAGCAAGACAAGGCACAGTGTCTTCATGAAACTTGTGCACGGACAAATCGTGTCCGTGCACAATCGATCCGCCTCCTCGTTCTGCAGATTGCCAATCTCCCTTTCCAGGAGAGCAATGAGCTCCCGCTCCTCGTCCTCATCCATGGCCTAACACGTTCGAGCGTCTGCATCAGGCATCATATTGCAACATCCCACACCCTGCCTCGTCACCAGCAGCTGACTCCTGCGAGTTGGCCGCAGCTGACTGCTGCGAGTCGGCCTCGTTCAGCAAGCATATGTGCAGAACATCGGTGAAGGACGTGATGCACACAAGGTCCTGAAAAAAGTCAGCCCCGCACGGCAATGGTGGGCATCGAATCCATGTGTCTCGTCGGAGGAGGAGCGGGCAACAGCCTGCCCATTTTCACATCATCCACCTTGTCCATTTCTTCCAGCTTCACGCGAAGCTCGGGATCCATGGCCGTACACGATCATGCATGTGCCGTCTCGAGAGGCAAAGCATCGAAGTGCGTCGCAACATGTTGGCTCCAAGCCAGCTGCAAATTCCATGCCCCGACCGTAAAGGCTGCTTGTTCAGCGCCCTCTGAGGCTGCTTGTTCAGCGCCTTCCATCCCGCTATCAACGGGCTCACGAAACCGGACAACGTGCATGGCGTCTGTGCGTGAAAGCATGTGAATAGAATGTCTATGTGATTACACACACGTATGCATATCCAGGTCGGCACCCATTCATGAGACCAGTTCGCTATGGATGCATATATTAATATATTAATATTAATATATATATATATATATATATATATATATATATATATATTTATTTATTTATTTATTTAATAATATATTTATATATTAATAATTTAATATATTATTATTTTAATATATAAAAATATGCATATATTAATATAGTAGTATAGTAATATCTCTATATTAACGGGCTGACGAGACCGGACAACGTGGCGTCTGTGCGTGAAAGCATGTGAATAGAATGCCTATGTGATTACACACACGCACGCGTATCTAGGTCGGCACCCTTTCATGAGACCAGTTCGCTATGGATGCATGTATTAATATATATTAATACATTAACATATATATATGTTAATGTGTGTATATATATTAATATAATTTTATATGAATATAATAATCTAATGATATGTATATATATACATATGTATATGTGTGTATATATATATAATGTATTAATATATATTAATATAATAATATATGAATATAATAATGTATTGATATGTATATATGTATACATATATATATATATATATATATATATACATATATATATATATATATATAATTCCGGTAATGGTACTACCGATATCTAGTAGTATAGTATTATTGCCAGATCTCATCTGAAGTAGTATAGCAGCATCTCCGCATGCGAGCATGTGCGTATGTAGCGACATATGTGCATGGTGCGTATATCTAGGTGCGTGTATGTATGCGAACATGCATAAGGGAATCGGCATGATTTGCATGTTTGCTAATATGCAGAGGGAGATGTGGAAGGCTATATATGTATATGCGTCAACATCATGTTGATGCGTATGTGTGTGCGTGTGCATGCACATACACACCGATTGTTTTGTGCATCGTGGGTATGCATTCCAGAAATCATGTTCTAGGCCGTGACGAGGTCGTGACGCCGTCACGTGTGCTATTGTTCATATATGACTAGAGGCCGTGACGGCGTCACGGGTTGGTCACGGGCATTCTGGTGTGTTCAGTGTGTCTGCAGACATACAAAGGGGAGTCGTTGTCATTCTATGTTTCTGAGTACAGAAGTATAAGCGGAAAGTCAAGCATGTGTGTGGCAACATCCCGCGATCACAATTCTCCGTTGCTGTCATGTGCACCACGACAGAGAGTAGTTGTTCCTGCTGCACGGATCCGGTGTGATACGCACGTTTGTCGATATGCAGAGGTAGATGCGGAAGGCTATGTATGTACATGCGACAACATCCTGTGTGTGTATGTGTGTGCGTCTGCATGCACATACACACACCGATTGGTATGTGCATCGTCGATATGCATTCCACAAATCATGTTCAAGGCCGTGACGAGGCCGTGACGCCGTCACGTGTGCTATTGTTCATATATGACTAGAGGCCGTGACACCGTCACGGGTTGGTCACGGGCATTCTTGTGTGTTCAGTGTGTGTTTGCGGACATACCATGGGGAATCGGTGTCATTCTATGTTTCTGATCAAGTATAAGCCGAAAGTCAAGCATGTGCGTGCTGTGCTTATGTATGAATGCACATGATCGAAAGATCACCCCTGCAGTCCCTGCAAGCCTTAGCACTCGCAATACTGCAGGGTCCATGCCAACGAACAATTGATGCCATGGGGGCACTGATGGCGACGTGCTTCATCCTCGGCGACAGCCCGTCCTGGCAATGCACAAAAACCACAAATTTAAGGATCCATGCTCCATGTCACTCTGGCATCGTACATGTGTGAGCAGGCGGTGCATCGATCACAGATCCAGCTACCCCCAACTCCTGGAAGCTGTCCCTTGTCACAGAAGGCCAGAGCTGGCAATCAGTAATCGGGGCTTGCTTTGAGGACTCTGGACTCCTCGATGATCTCCTCCTCGCTTTTGAGGCCCTCCATGAGGGATGTGGCCCCTGGGCCACATCCTTGAGCTTCTCCCTCACCTGCAACACCTGACTCTCCTTTTCGCCAGGTCTCTTTCTGAAGAGACACACGAACAGGTTCTCGGTGCCGTCTTTGAGGTTTCTGTTCCGTCTTTGTTTGACGAAGTACTTCACGGCAACAGGAGCTCCCAGATCAGACGGCGGGGGATCGGCACGATGTTCAGCTGGCACAGCCGGCGGGTGAACTGCAGCTGACGGTTCGGGTGCAGGGCAGCGGTTCGCAGCTTCTGGGCCAGGCTCAGGACCAGAAAGTACTTTGTCTGTCGGTGGTGCAGCAGCTCGAGGAAGGGCCTTTTTGGCTTTGGCAGCAATCTTCTTGGACTTCACAAGCGAATGCTGTCGGGAGGCATCCAAAGGAGGGACCGTAGACAACAAGTTCTTGAGCTCCTCGTCCCCGAAGCCCAAATCTGAGCGTTCCTCGACATGCAGCAAAACTGTTTGAATTCACCTCCCTGTTCTCTGCCCTCTCTCCACCCTCTCTCTCTCTCTCTCTCTCTCTCTCTCTCTCTCTCTCTCTCTCTCTCTCTCTCTCTCTCTCTCTCTCTCTCTCTCTCTCTCTCTCTCTCTCTCCTCTCTCTCTCTCTCTCTCTCTCTCTCTCTCTCTCTCTCTCTCTCTCTCTAGTCTCTCTCTCTCTCTCTCTCTCTCTCTCTCTCTCTCTCTCTCTCTCTCTCTCTCTCTCTCTCTCTCTCTCTCTCTCTCTCTCTCTCTCTCTCTCTCTCTCTCTCTCTCTCTCTCTCTCTGCCCTTCCAAGTGCCACCCAAGCTTCAGAGACCGGGATTGTTGGCTCCTCATGTGCCTCCTTCTGGGTCTCAGTGTTCACCGATGCGGAGGCCGCTGGGGCCTGCTGCTGCACACATGCCAGGTGTATAGCTAGCTTCTTTAACGACACTTACTTATTGTCGGGACATGTGAAGTGCACCTCCTTCTTGGTGTCAGTTTTCGCAGACGCGGCAGCCATGTTTTGCTCCTGCACAGTTGACAGGTGCTTCTCTTGCTTCAGCATTAGAGCGACAAGAAATGCAAGTGATTCAGTTCGGGACATCTGAACTGCATGTGGCTCCTTGGCCTTTTTTGGCGGTGCCACCTCATCTGCCTCCTTCTGGGTCTCAGTCTTCACCCATGCGGAGGCCGCTGGGGCCTGCTGCTGCACACATGCCAGGTGTATAGCTAGCTTCTTTAACGACAGTTACTTATTGTCGGGACATGTGAAGTGCACCTCCTTCTTGGTCTGGGTCTTCGCAGATGCAGCAGCCATGGTTTGCTCCTGCACACTTGACAGGTGCTTCTCTTGCTTCAGCATTAGAGCGACAAGAAATGCAAGTGATTCAGTTCAGGACATCTGAACTGCATGTGGCTCCTTCGCCTTTGTTGGCGGTGCCACCCAAGCTTCAGAGACCGGGATTGTTGGCTCCTCATGTGCCTCCTTCTGGGTCTCAGTCTTCACCGATGCGGAGGCCGCTGGGGCCTGCTGCTGCACACATGCCAGGTGTATAGCTAGCTTCTTTAACGACACTTACTTATTGTCGGGACATGTGACTGAAGTGCACCTCCTTCTTGGCGTCAGTCTTCGCAAATGCGGCAGCCATGGTTTGCTCCTGCACAGTTGACAGGTGCTTCTCTTGCTTCAGCATTAGAGCGACAAGAAATGCAAGTGATTCAGTTCGGGACATCTGAACTGCATGTGGCTCCTTCGCCTTTTTTGGCGCGGGTCCAAGATCCTCTCGCACAGGGGGTCTGCTGACGATGATATCCAGCATCGAGGACATTGCCGACGAGGATCCGGATCCAGATCCAGACTGGAGCTCCAGACTTTTGGAGAAGCGGCAGGAAAAGCTTAGCCAACTTGCAGGTCGCACAATTGAGATTGTCGACGACGAGGATACCGACAGGAAGGCCAAGACATGCATAAATTCCCTCTTGCATCTTAATGGAGTCTAGTGTGGTCAAGCTAGACCACTTCGGCAAGGTAGGTGTAGTTGCGAAGTTTGGTTTTGGAGTTGTGGGGGCGGGCGAAGAGCGACACGGTTAATAAAGTACTTTTTCTTTCCTTCTCTCTCTCATACTCTTAGTCTTTACTCTCTCTCTCTCTCTCTCTCTCTCTCTCTCTCTCTCTCTCTCTCTCTCTCTCTCTCTCTCTCTCTCTCTCTCTCTCTCTCTCTCTCTCTCTCTCTCTCTCTCTCTCTCTCTCTCTCTCTCTCTCTCTCTCTCTCTGTCTCTCTTCCTGCTGCTTGCTGCCTAAATTGCTACCTCCTAGTGTCAGTGCATGTGCAGGTGACTTCCTCTTCGAATCAAGCGGCTCGTGCCCGCTCTTCCATGTCCGGATGTTCAGCTGCTTGGGGCCATTGTCTCCCCTGAGCTCGAGCATTGTACTTCCAGTTTCGCCGGATTTTCCTGATCGAAGAAACCATGGCTTTCAGGTCAACGGCGAGAGCATTCGTGATGACTTCCATCGGTGGGTCGGCCAGGAGACGGCCCAGAAGCTTGCTCGTCAGAGCCTCGTATGACGACATTGATAAGAGCAATGCCGGCTCGGCATCAAGGATCGGCATCAAAAGCCACTTGAAATCCATGAGGAGCTGTCTGTCCAGCTTCTTGCCAGGCTCACCAGCCTTTTCAAAGAGGCCGGCCATGTCACGCCGATCACTGATGCGAACGTGCATGTCCAACGGGATTTTGTCACGACTTTCTGTGACAATCGCATCGACTTCGGCTTCGGTCAGCTCTCGCTCCTTCATGCCACGTGGACGACCCTTCGACGGGGCACCGGCCATGATGCCAAAC